AGTCTGCTGAAAACTCTTCGAAAGCCCACGACCGGTTTCGCCCTTCTTGGGGCTCATCAGGTAGGCGCAGTCCTCGAGTTTCCGTCAACCTTATGTTCTACTCGAAGCCAAATTGGACTGTTCTCGAGAAACACACTCATTTACAAATCAATTTGGTTTTCACGAGAAACTCAACTGATATTCTACAACTGAATGTGCTGCACACAGGTGAGTAGTTTTCTTTATGAAAATATACTGCGATATCTCAGATATCGTGCCAAATGGGTTATGAGGCAGCCTGTGTGCAGCACATTTAGTTGTAGAATACCATAAACGAGAGATTCAATTGAGTCTCTCGTGAAAACTAAATTTATCTGCAAATGGGTGTATTTCTCGAAAACAGTCCAATTTGGCTTCAAGTAGAACATAGGGTTGACCGAAACTCGAGGACTGCGCCTACCTGATGAGCAACAAGAAGTGCGAAACCGGTCGTGGGCTGTCGAGGAGTTTTCAGTAACCTTGTGCGTAGTTTCCTTTACGAAAAGTCGACCAACCTCTTTATAAAGCGGTTCCTTAATTGACCGCGGTTTAGACATGCACTACACATCACAATTCCTATAGGAATTGTGATTTAGACTGACATGCACGATGAAAAGCCCTTCGAGATCCTTTCGTCTTGTTTGGTTTTGGGTTGCAGGCCACTACCCGGATATCTAGCTCCGGTTGGGTAAATAATGGTGTAGGTTAAGGGCGAAGACAAAGTTGGATGTTCCGGCTAAACCAATCAAAGATTCGCGCACTACTGGCTGTGTGCATTTAATCAGAAAAGTAGTCGCCTCTCCCGATTTCTTAGTTGACAGCCATCCACATTTAGTGTATTGTGATAGACAGTTTTGGAAAAATCCAACTCCATATGGATAAACAAACTGCCAATAGCAAGGGACAGTTTTTAGTCAGAAGCCTTCAGAATGAACAGTGAGTGGTCAGTGTCACTTTACAGTTTATCCGAAATCAGCAAGAAACTTGATTTACGAAAATTCTGAACAAATGTAGCACCTTTGACAGCAATCTTCAGAATTCAAGCTAAACTGTATTTGGTGACTAACTAAAAATACAACGGCAAGTTTTTGTTCCTTTGAATGCGGCCCATAAACAGTCCCTAATTAAGGTGATTGGAGGTCCTCAAAGTTCTGTTTTTGGGCCACTGCTGATTCCGATCTACGTCAACGTCCTCCCAGTCATTATTTCAAGTCCATGTCTACTTTTTGTGGACAACTTGAAATCCTGGAGTTCCAATACCACTGCCAAACTACTGAAGACGCTGCAGAGCAGTGGTCGTTGGACTGATACCTTCCTCTGAATGATGAGTAGTGTGTCCATATGTCATTCGGAGGTGACTCAGCGAACGCCTTTGTCGTGCATGGCGGGAATGGACCAGAAAACATCACCAGAATGGATGCTAAAAAGGATATTGGTGTCTGGCTCTTTTCAAACACAACGATCTCACTGTGCCATGAGAAATCGGCTCAAAAGGCATTTGGCGCTCTACGGATGGTTCTGCGTACGGATTCGCAGATTGATACATAGGATCGATGCTTCTGTTCAAGTTTCCAGGGTCTGTTTTGTTCTTGTTATTCGGCGGCTGTCGTTCACCTGAAAGGTAGAAGCAAAAAGAGGGTGTAGCGCTACTTTTTAAGTTATCAACAA